GTCAAAAAATAAACGAAAAGGACAACGTAACGGCAAGATTTTAAAAAATATTGACACTATCGTTGACACTATCGTTTATTTACTGGAGCTTATATTTCAGCTTTTTAAATAATGTTTAATATTTCTTTTTTATTAGCACTGTTATAATTACGGGAGGAGGGATTTTATTTTTCATTCGATCTACCATTCCAATTTGACGTTGCTCTTATCTTTTAAACATAGATTGCGAGCTGTATCGATGCTCGCTAACGATATCCCATTAGAAATGTACATAATTAACGAAACGAATTACCGGCGAATAATATAATATACTAATCGATAAGTTTCTCTGTCCTGTGCAGTCCTCTGGGAGGGTGCAGTTAACTAGGGTCGAGACAGAATTAGTATTCTTCAATAAATCCTCGAAACTCTTTGAGAATAATTTATCTTGCCCCGTGTACATATTCCGACGGAACAAATATCTTTTTTCCTTCGTACTTGTTTATTTTAGATGACTACGTCTGTAGCTCGCGTACTCGTTACTTCAATTAGCAAAAATCAGAATTTTCCTTGGCTGCCAATTCTATTGCGCCGCCGGCAGTTTGTGTCTAAAATAATAGTTTGCTCTTCTGATTTGTTATACGGAGGTATTTTTCTTCAGATATAATATTCAATCCTTAAAACTTGAAGTGTATGAATTTATCATTTTTTTCGAAGGAACTGTTTTGCCGGCACAAATTCCGCAGTTTTATCTTGTTGCGATGAAAATAGTTGTAAATTCAATCTTTTCGAAGACTCTGTTTTGAACTTGTTTTCTTCTAAATAAATATCTATTTTAATATTAAATATTATAATTTCTATTATTTTAATCTTAATGTTTTTCATCACTGTTCAGGAAGCTTTATTTCACTTTTTTTTAAACATATATATTTCAGGATTTTTTAAATGTAAACACGTTATTAGCAATTAAAATACTAAATTCAATTTTCTAAGAGTTATGAATTTTAGTGCTTTTCAAGTGAATTGCTCAAATATCTAATTCTCCACTAAACGTCACAGCATTTACTCAGTTCCCAAATATTCACGATTGAATATTTATGAAGTTACGGATAGACGAACGCGGGGGAAAAAAATTTGACCAGGAGCTTCCGCTCAGCACGTATTAATTACTATCGACGAAAAACGGAGGCGTCCGGTAACACGACCATTTGGCACGGCTCGCGTCCCGCCGTTATTTGCTAACCGGTAAAAACTGCGTTCCGACAAACGGTGCGCTGCAACAACGTTGTTGCATAAATCGCGATTAACCTTCGCGAGGGCCCTCGTCTGCATGCGGCAATCCGTTGCAAGTACGAGACATCCCAGCGCTTGTTTTACGATCGCGTTATTGCAACTGAGTGCCGCCCAGAGATCAAATCACAATCTGATAACTATCGTTCCAAGCTTAATCCCGGCAATATCAAATTCTGAGTTGCGACACGAAGCATCGAAGTAGATTATCATGCATTTGTAAAAAGTATGTTTTATAAATTAATAGCTGTGCATAAATGAAGATGGGTTTTGTCTCGGTATTAAGAATCTGCTTATTAAATTTATCTAGAAAAATTTACGAATGATAGTCATAAAATGTTACCTATCGAAAATTCTATAAGTTAAATATGAATGATTGCGCGCAGGATGACAAAGTCGATCTAAGTTCAGTGAGGTAAAGCGAAAACATATTTCACGATTTTAATAATGATTAATTTAAATCCGCCTAATCGTCGAAGAATTACACCTGTTGCTGATGTAACAATCTGCACGATCGCAATTGAATCCTTCCATTACGTATATTGCTCCACTTCGCGGCGTGCGTCCTTGCAAAACGGACACACGGACGAGCCGGTTCATTTTCGAGAGTAGTATTGATCCCGCTCTGTTACAGAACAAACTGGATCAATTATTCCTGTCCTGTTTCTCAATAATTCAGCGACATTAGGCTGAGGCACTAGCAACAACTGTGAATTGTTTTAGCCATTTTTTCGCCCTTTTATGTGAATCTGCTCGTGCTTATAATTAATTTATTTTTAAATACAGAAAAAGAGACACTACTTTTTTATCTTAAATTTAATAGAATTAAATGCAGTCTCTTGAAAGCCAAAATAAATTTCTTTTAGTATTTTAATTAATATTTTATAAAAAATTAAATATTTTTTAAAATCATTATTTTCAAAATTATTTAAAAATATGTATATATACAGGGTGTTTTATAATGTCCGTGCCAACTCTCGTGCGCGGGTAGAGTGCGGTAAACTGAATAGAAAAGTCCTTTACCGTTTTGCATTTTTTGCAATAACAATTGAGATATTAATTAAAAAGGATTGACGAATAATC